TATATATATATATATATAAGCTTTGACTATATAGTTACATTTAGTTACCAAACTTAAACACACAGACTATTTAATTACTATATAGTTACACATACCTCATGCTCCAAAAATAACGCTTTGAGAGTTCCATTTGACCAAAAATCCATTGCATAAGCTAGTAATTTCATGGAAATTGGATTTACTCTAAGAAAGTTACCGACAAACACTACATGTTCCATTCCCTGAAAAAGAAAAACCAGAAACAAATAAACATAAAACTTAATCAAAATATAAAATACTGTGCAGCAACCTTCCAACAAAAACAATAAAAAATAAATGATATTTACTTAATTTGGAGCATCGGATTTCATCCTTTTTATAATTCAAAATATAAAAAATAAATCAAATAATGCAACTTTACATGAATCAATACTAGCATAATATTATATAACATCGTGGTGAACTACATAAATTAAATGTGTGTTTAACATTCATGTTACCCACCTCATTGACCGCACACATTCTCGCTATCGACCCAATATTGTTGGTAATCGTAACTAAAGTAGCTCTTGCCAGATCTTCTCTGCTAACTAGTGAGCGGCGTTCTTGGCAAGTCATGTTTCCAAAACTAGGAAAAATGGAAATTATTTACTTACATCTAATCCCACGTGTGTGCGTTTTTGAAAGAGGGAAAAAAAATATACGACTTCTTAAAAGTACTATTTTGCAAGACTGCAAATAAATCTTGGTACTGATGCGTAATTATATATTCCAACTATACTGCACTTAGAAAATATTTTTAATTGAGCCATAACAAAATGTTTAATTTATTGATTCGGCTAATTTCGAAATACGTACATATTCAACAGATAAAGATTCCCATTTGTACAAATCATCTTATATTTATTGATAAAAATTATGTATAAAGCGATGAATTACAAATATATTAAAAACTCATAATTTTATACTTGTACTAAATTTAATTTTTCGACTGAATTTCTTAACCATAAATAGCGCCAATTACTGCACTGTTCAAGAATACAAAATATTTATTTACTCCATCATAAAGTAATAAATAGAAAAACTAAACTATCACTTTAACATTGTCTTAATTATTTATACAATAATATATAGATATAAGCAAAATAACATCCATTAATTTAGAAGAATTAGTGGTTACAATTTACATAATAAATATACTTAATGTATTTGAAAAAAAAATACAGTTTTTACTTGAAGCATAAGAGAATGAAAAATTCATACCTACTAGCAACAGTGTCCCCTTGAAGATTAAATCTCGGATAATCCCCACCATAGATATCTTTTACAAGTTTGTCCACTTTAGTACTTTCACCTTTTTCAGCTAGGGCAATAGCTTGTTCAAATGTTTCACAACCAGTCAAAAGAGAACAGAGTCCGAGAAATGTACCCCCACCTAGACTAGAGAATCATGTCAAGCGTAAAGCTTTTAAAGTACTTTCTGGTCTATCACAAATTGTAAGCACCAAGTATGTTTTAATATTCGAAGCAGTACTTCAATTTCTAAAACATAATTTGTTATTGTTTTTACAACATTAGTTTTATGAAACTTTATAAGACAAGAAAACAAACTTGACAATTGTAAGAGAAAACAGAAAAATATGTTACGTTTTCAAATTTCCATATGCAATGGTAGCTGTTACAAAAAGATTATGAAATCAGAATCAATTAAGAAAATTAGTTATAATACAAATCGGTACTACAAATACAGCTGCAAGAAATAATTTGTTATTGATAACTAAAATACTTATTTGAAGTTCCATCAAAATATATTTTGTAAGCATTTTTTCTGGTTTTACTTACTACACATCTGCCTCTGAAGATGTGATACAATGTATGATATATATATTTAACTTGCAAGTTAACTACGAAATACATCACTATATTCTAACAAATACAAAATAAAAACAAATTGTTCATGTACGTTTTAACAGAAAAGTTTATTTCAAACACCTTGTAGTAATATATTGTGTTTTAATATTATCATAATATCAGCTATATGTTTGTTAGGTACATTACTTCGTGTAAAATAACCTCAAATATTAAATATTTGAATGCCACTGCACAAAACTCAATAATGGCCGAAATTCTGGACAGAAGCATTTCCGGCGTATGTTTATTTAAATGTTCTTATGTGGAGTAGAAATAGACGTCATTTTCAAATATGGTTTTAGGCTCGCATGTAGCACAATCTTTTAATTTTTGTATCCTTAAATGTAAAAGAAAGAAACAGGAATTTCTTTCTCATACGCAAGATATTAGTAGATTGTGACCAACAAAGAGCCATGTTAATATCCATATACTTCTAGAAGATGCTCTACTGTAACATGATAATTCCAGACGTCATATTACCTCTTATGTAATGACTGGAATTTAAAAGTTTGAATACACAGCTCTTCCTTACTTCGCATACAGTACTGACCAAACACCCTATGACTTATTTCTTTTTGGTTCTCCAAAGGACAGACTGCGTGTAGAATACTTTCAGACAACTGACGATCTTAAAGCAGCTGTAAGCAGTTTGATTCTTAACATCACACCTGCATTTTATCGAACCTAACCTATATAATGTTGACAAATGATGTCTGGTTGCCCATATTTTCAACACCAATGGCATACTTTGATAGATTGTTTAGGCAGAGTATTCACCATGAAACTTATCTGAATGGACGGCAACTGTCTGTTGTAGAAACACAAGTGTAGAAAATGACGTTTCGAAAGTCTTCCGCTTTTCGTCTTTAGGTCCTCTATACTTGTGTTTCTACAACAGGCAGTTGCCGTCCATTCAACTAAGTTTCACCAATGACATACATTTGTTGGGAATAAAATAATGTTTCTTAAGACCCTTCATATATCGATTACGTTACTTCCTTTGCAATGAACGTACGTTGTAATGTTTGAATATTGCTACACAAAATTTAGTAGTGATTTTTTTCCCGATAAACACAAACTGAAACGCTCTAGTATTGTTTAAGTTTCTGTTCGTGATGATTATTTGCAAGGTAAATAAACTCCTATATAACCATTATTTATTGTTTACGTGACACAAAACAGAATATATTAAACATCCTACTATTTTATAAACTTTATATACTTGATAGATCTAAGAATAAATGTTCATATACACGTATTAACCTAGACTAGCTTTACCTTGAGCCAGTTACACGTTTATAACAGTCCGGAGCATATACGGATAGGATGCTGACTCCGGACCCTATGTTTACAACAAGGTACGGATATGGAGATGAGAAGTCAAACACTTTTTTTTCACAGAATTTATCATCAACTGGATTTTCGAAGTAATAACATTCTTCTTGATAATTAGCGTCAATGTAATGAATACCACGAAGAAGAGAATCCATTTCATCGAACTTATGGATATCCATATTTACTTCCTTTGGAATAGATAAATAAAAAAGTGAAATACAATTATATCAATAATCAGTCAAAGCCCGTCAAAAATGACAGGAAATCGTTGAAAAACAAAACTATTCCGTATAAAACTGGCAATATACAAAAGAAATAAATAAAATAAATAAAATGTCCTTTCCCAGGAACATGCTACATATTGCTTCTGAATCTACTACATGTAACAGAGCAAACATGCTACATATTGCTTCTGAATCTACTACATGTAACAGAGCAAACATGCTATATATCGGTGTCTTAATAACAGTTATTACAAACAATGATTTATATAAAAACGTTTTACAAATTTACAAGCAATATAAAGTCTTCTTTCTACTCTGGAACTTCCTTAATGTCTTAT